ACCGCTAATTTAATAGTAATCTATAATGTGTATTTTTAGTTTATAAGAATCGGTCAAGTGTAAAGCGGATTTGCACGTTGAAGGTTCCGTGCCACCATATTTATATTTTTTTTTATATATCGCACTACTATTAAAATATGTGTGTGTATGTTTGTTACTCCTCCACGCTGATGACTTATATATTCTCCGTCAAATAAGCTATCGGTGATTGAATCAACGACATTCTTGATCAAAGGCCTGAATCAATATTGTCTGAAATTCACACAGACAGATATAAAGCTCCGACTAAAGACCTTGTATAATCTTCCTATAAAGCTACAAGGGCTTATTACTCCAATAACATTCATTCAAATATTTGTATGTATGGAAAGATAATTTATAATCTACTCAAGTAACTTTACGAAAATGGCAACAAAAGCTCACAAAGCTCTAAAGAAGTTAATTATTTACTACGTTACATGAATGAGTAGAAAGCATCTACCCATTACCGATACGCTCACTTCAAATTTCATTCATAGTAGTGAAGTAGCGAAAAATTGTATAAACTTAAAATGGAGTCAAAATATAAAAGCTTTGAAAGCTACTTTTGCCGAAACGGTTCAGAAATTAAACTTTATTATAGTAAATTTAAAGGCGATAGGTGTAATATAAAAAGATCAATGAATGCAATGTGAGATCAATCGTGTGCAAAGTGTCACCGTATTTAGTTAGCGGCTTTTTTGACTACCAGAATCGTGTCGGGCCATTAAATGCAAGGCAATATCCCTTGTAAGCTTGCTAGATAGAGGACCCATAACGATAATGAGTTACTCCAGTTTTTGTGTTGGTTTCTGTGATATGTTTAACTTATGGTATGATAAGGTTGTTTAAGATATTTTTAACATCAAAATCATCTGTACTTTTTGTGGGTATGTTACGTGATATGTTCGCCAATAGTGAATCAATTTACATAATATTTTTCAATCAATAACACGTTTTTGTTGAATTCCTTAAGGGTTATATGAATTTTTCAAAATTGAATAAATTAATTAAACTATTATTATTTTGTTATATTATCAGTCAGTGATTCAATATTGCGTTTTCATTTCTTTTATTAATTATGGTGATTTTATTATTAAAAGCACCCCAATATTTAAATTTAAGCTCAAATCACACATTTCGTGGACAAACAGAGTAGCTTTTTTTTAAGGTAAAGGTACCAAGTACCGCCCCCTCTAATTGATTGCATAACCGTCGTACCCATTCACACTCGTTCATTCATAAGAGTCATTTGACATGCGGCGACAAATCGGCTAAGACGTTTTAGCCATACAAATTAAAAAAATTAAGCCATTTTCAACTTTACCACGTAGAAAAAAAGAGCTTTTTAAGTGAATATAAAAGTTGGTAAATAATTTTACTTGGAGAATGTAACCTTTATTTGAGTGTAGCTTTTGTAAAAATGACACGCTGTTATCTTATTATATTTATTATATGTACATTGTGCTATGGAATTTCATGCATGCCTTCGATTTTTTTGCAGTCAAACTTCGATACTTTGTGTGGATGAATGAAAATTTGTCACGGTAAATGGTTATCAAAGAGCCAATGATTTTTATTTTAAATCGTTTAGGCCTTAATATGATGTCTTTGGCAGATGCAGCATCTGTTGTTATCTCGACAGATGACCATCGATTGGAATTTGGATATAGGTTTGATTGGAATCGCCCGCTAGTCCGAAGATTGTGGATTTGAATTCCGCAATCTTACAAGTTGCCATGAATCTAATATGATTTCCACCATCGCGTTAGCAAAAACCATGATATTAGAGAGTTTTATTTAACTTACACTATATGAAAATTAGTATAGCGTATAGAGAACATAATTATTTAAAAAAGGATTTATAACGGTTAGTATAATGTTTTTAGAGATGAGACATTTTATAGATAACCAGCTATCATCATAACAAATTTAATCAAAATCTGTCTAGTGTATTTATTTTAAAGTGCAATGGTTTTCTCGCGATGCGTTCTCAGACAAACAGACGGCCAGAAAAAAACATTTAATGTACAGATTCGACTTAGAATTTTATTAAATGTATAGATTTAAACTTTTTTAGAAATAAAACATAATAAATGACTCCACTCTAATCGTTGCTTGTTTAGCTTATTCATTAGCATACTGACTTGAGATCTTTGCTATTTTAGGCGGCAAACTCCTTTGTGACCTTTGAAACTTGCTGTTTTCAGTTTACAGAAAATATAAAAGCTACTGTAATTTACTATTTTATTCTCTACTATAACTTTATATGTACATTGTATATTTTATGTACATATAAAGCAAAAATTTAAAACTGCAATCAAAAATAAATCTACTAAAGCTAACAATCTTGGTACGATATCCACGAACCCAACTGAGCTATCCCAACAAACATTTTTACAACTGATTTTTATTTTATTACCGCCATAATTTGCTGCTTATCAATGTCTCGCGTATCCACAATGAAACCCTCTTTTATATCGAGTTTTAGTACAAAAAATAACATCTGTTCAAAGTTACACGAGTTCGCTTCTATTTGACGCATCATTAAACCTTACATCGACACACTTACCACTTATAATATCTATTTTTCTATCATTTCTATAATAAATTTTATGCCAAATAAAATTCCTCGCTCCTCCTTGTAATAAATAATTCTGAATACATTTTTGGATGAAAAAAACGCTTTTTGTCAATGAAAGTCCTTCCCGTGAAATTGTTTTTGTGTTCTGTTGATAAATTTGTGGCGAATCGATTGTGTTTTTAGTGTAGAGGGAAGGTTTTTGAGTACCATAATGTGTGACATTAAGTGCTTATGTAATTTTAGTTGGCACTTCAAATAACTGATAGTTACTGAAGCACCTATGGGAAGAGTTAAATGAATAGCAGTTACTTTCAAGCGTTTTATAAATACATTCAATGGTTACACAAATAATAAACGGCGAAAATTTCTTATTTTCATTCAATTTGTAGCAACTCATTCATTCATTTGTCCCTAGTAAAAAACAAATAAGAGTCTATCCTACGGGAACCATTCATTTTTCCGGAATATAAAGTAATCTATGTACTATTCCAGACTATGTTCTATATCTGTGCCAAGTTTCATCTAAATCCGTTCAGCCGTTCTGGCGTGATTGAGTAACAAACATCTATCCAAACATTCGCATTTTTATAATATTAATGGAATGGGATTTATCTTTGATGATAAGGCAAAGTAAACTAATGTTAGCACTAACTAAAATGTATGTCTAATAGAAATTATAAATTATAATAAATCATTAGTTTGTGATGTAGTTTATTTATTTTTTTGATGTTTTAAAAATTCCTTCAAATATTTCTGTTTTGTAATATTTTCTCTCTTTAGTACATTCATCTCATGAATGAATGATTAGATTGATAAATGAAATCAAAAAGTATTTTATGATACTTTTGTATATAATCGGACCAAAAGTAATGTAAAATATATAATAATAAAATCCATCTCGATACTAATTATAAATGTGGGTTTATTTGTTTGTTTGTTTGTCGTTGTATCACGTCGAAACGGAGATACGGAGATATTGGCAAAAATTTTTGTGTGGAGATAGTTGGAGGGCTGGAAAGTGACATTATTGGCTACTTTTTACCGCGGGAGGTTATCTAATTCCCACGGGAAACCACGTTACAATCAAAAAAATATTTATGATCAGAATTACTTGAAACTTAGTAGTAATGCTCTTTAATAAAATTAATTAAATACTTGTATAAGCATTTTTCGAAATTCATCTTATAAGGGGGTAAAATAGGGGATTAAAGTTTTTATAAAACTACGTTTGTAGAGATATTTTTTGTAGTTTTAGCGCGAACGAAGCCGCGGTTTCTGCTAGTTTAGAATATTTTTGTTATCACATTTTTAAATTCATCTCGAATTTATCTAATGATCTAATTAAAAAAAGACACTTTTGGCTCAGTTTGTAGTAACCCTACTTGCCGTGCCAGCGATCGCGGGATCGGGTCCCGCTGGGGGCATTCATTTGTGTGATGACCACGAATGTTTGTACTCCAGTCATGGGTGTTTATATTTATAATATGTATGTATTTAAAGCTCTATATGTGTAGTGTATCAACTATGTGGTATCCATAACACAAGCCTCGTAGCTTACCATGGAACTAAATGGTGTTGTTTGTTAATGTTATGATATTTATTTATTTATAGTGAGCAGTCTAAGGAATATTCGTATGTATTTCCAACTTAGAATTTTACATGACTTTAGTAAGTAGATTATAGTTGTTTCACTACTTGCTTATGTGTTCCATTTAGTTTAATCAAGACCTACTGAGTGAAACCTAGGAGCATGTAGAACAAAGAGCTGAAGTATCTTTAAATCTAATCATATAATTAAAGACTCAGACTAAAGGAGAATAAGTTAGATGAAACGTGTAACTAAGACGGTAATTGAAAAAAAGAAAGCCAAACGAAAACGTCAAAAATAATTATATATTATTAATACAAAGGCAATGATAACTCAGTGGTAACGCGCTTGCTTGGATAACCAAGTGAAGCGCGTTCAAACCCCGGGACATGCACCTATGATATTCTCATATGCAAATCATTTTGAAGACAATACCACCTACCTGACGTTAAAGGAACACATCGCGAGGAATTCTGTTTGTTGAGAATCTAAGTAGTTCTCAAAAAAACGTGTGAAACTCGCCAACCTGCACTTCGCCAGCGTGGTGGACTATAGCCCAATTCCCCTCGCAAGGTAGACACCCACGCTTAGCAATAGGAAGTACTACTAGGAAGAAAGTAGTAGTAGGAAGTACCACTAATAAGAGTTTTTTCAAAGTGCTTTTAGAATAAAAGCTCTTTAAAAAAGCTTCTAGCTATTGTCCTCAATTTTAGGTTTCCTTTTTCAATGATTAGTTTTTGTACCCATTTTTTTCAAGAATAAATGCATTATAAGAATGCTATAATAAGTTTTACAATAAATTTGAATTTAACCAAAAAAAAAACAGTTATGATTATGTTCTTCTGACCGATTCCGGCCACGGTGGCCAATCTCATTGAGACTAGCCAACTGCGCAGGAGATATTATAGTGCACATGTGTACGCGCAGACACAACGTGCACTCTCTATTCCTGTCACTCTCATACTCCGGTGGGACGACGCGAGACACGACCGGTGAGAGTTGAGACGCAGGACCGACGGCTTTACATGCTCTCCGAGGCACGTAGGTGAAACACCGCCAACTTCCCAACTCTGGGCTGTTACTGAGGCTTACTATACAGAAAGACTCAATAACTAAACTTGGCTCGACGTGGGACTCGAACCCAGGACCTCCAGGTGTGCAGCCGTACATGCTAGCCACTACACCACCGAGGCAGTTAACAATTATACTAACTGTACATTTATTGAACCAAAAGTATATGTTCATATTATACATGAAATTTTGAGTACTTTATCAATAGGGCGTTTTTTGTCAAATTTTAACAAAACAAAATGCTTAAAGGGCTATATTGTAGTTATAAGTATTTAACATGTACCCAATTACGTTAGTGACATTTCATAATACGTCTAAGCCACAATCACAATTAATTATTTGCATTCATATCATTATATTCAATGTAAAGCTTTTTCATTATGCATTAAGTATGCACTATGCTTGTGTTTATACAGTGCCCCAAAAATATAAACCAAAATGAACCCTATATGTAGTACATTAGAATCGATTTTCTCGACAAATGTTGTAGGTAGATACGACATTTTAAATTCAATTTAAATGCACCCTTCCAAATGTTCGTTGCTTTTGAAATTCAAGCACTATTTGCTAAAACATAGAGTTGAAAATGAAACAACTCTAAGTCCATATTTGTGCAATATCTACCCTCAAACTTAACAATGTTAGTTTTACTCCCGTATAAACAATATTTATTGAAATTTGAACTTTAATTCAAAGTAATAAGCTCATCATCCATATTCTTAATTATAAAATGACTTATAATTTGATGACATCGTGTGACGAATCAAGCCAGTTGGTATGTTTTGAATAGCACGTTTAATTTGTTTCTTTTATTCCACTCGAATGCGTTATGTCGAGATTCGATATGCAGAGTCATTGAATTAATTAAGAAAGTAACGTAGCTTTTGAATTTTTGATATTTCACGCTTAGACACTGTACGTAATGAAGTTCGCATATGTGCTAACGTGAATTTTGTTTCCTCTAATTGGCCATTAGAATAACGATACAATAAAAGAGAAAAAAAATAGAATCGAAATAACGTTTTTTATCTTTACAAACTAGTATAATAAAATTCAGACTGAGTCGAATATTTATAATAATAAATATTTTTTTGGAAAATCTTATTGAAAAATCATCATTATCGATACAGAGGCTGAAACTATATAGTTTGTAGAATTTTTGTCTGTCTGTTGGACAGGCAGATAGATTTTGATGAAATTTGGTATGATGATAGCTGCTTATCCGGGTCAACATATAGTATACTTTTCACTATGAAAAAATATATAATTTCTAAAAAATCTATACTTACTGTTAAAACGTACCTAAGGACGAACCCGAGCGGAGCGAGGGTGAGTCGCTAGTCTTCCAATATACGAGTACGTTATTTATAATTTCAATTTGTTTCCAAGATTACCTTAGAACATTATAAACAGCTTGACCAAATTAAAAAGACATTCATATGAATAAAGTACTTCGGCTGTTTCACTTTTATAACAAGTTTAAAAAATCTCATCCCAAATCGTTCAGTGCTTTTCTAGATCGACACGCACATACATACATACAGATAAACGCTCGATGACTTCCTCTTATATATATACTAGTAGTATTATGTGATCTTTGATATATGTAAGGATGAAGATTAAAATTGTCTGTTTAACTAAAATATGAGCAGTAGGCAGTACACATAAATAGAAAAATCTATACATATAATAAAATTGTAACTAACCAGAATCTGTACATTAAATATTTTTTGGAAAATCTTATTGAAATAAACATTATTATCGATACAGAGTCCGAATCTATAGTTTTTAGAATTTTTGCCTGTCTGTCTGTCTGTACCGCATCACGAGAAAACCACTGGACAGACTTTGATGAAATTTGGTATGGTGATAGCTAGTGATCTGGGTCAACATATAGGGTACTTTTTACCGCTACAAAATATCTCATTTCTGAGAAATAATACAAAAACTGCAATGTAAGAGTATACTAATATGTAAAACCTAAGAATTTTTTTTTGGTATCTGAACGCGGGCGGAGCCAATGCTAGTAACCTATAAAAATGAAAACAAGCGAAAGGTCGAATACAGTCCGCTGTTTGAAAGAGCGTAATCAGGCCATCAATCCGTACGTGTTAGACCAGTAGGGACTCACCTTGCCCTATATACTAGCCAGCGATCGAGGACAAAGAAAGTCAACGATCAATAGTATAGGTACTAAGGATATTGGAAAGCTGAAATGACCATATTTGTTTTAGATAATACTTTTTTTTGGTTTTAATAGATGTTTCATTTTCCTTCTTGTAATCGGTCTGATTTTATAAAAGACTAGCACAGCCCGCGGCTCCGCCCGCGTTCAGATGACCAAAAAGCAAATTCTTAGATTTTACATATCAGTATACACTTACAACGCAGTTTATGTTTTTTTTTCTCAGAAATGAGATATTTCCCAGCAGTAAAAAGTATCCTATATGTTGACCCGGATAACCAGCTATCATTATACCAAATTTCATCAAAATCTCTCTAATGGCTTTTATGTGATGCGGTAACAGACAGATAGACAGACAAAAAATCTAAAAACTATAGATTCGGACTATGTATCGATAATAATGTTTATTTCAATAAGATTTTCCAAAAAATATTTAAGGTACAGTTATTATTGTACAGTATTCGGCTTAGTTACAATTTTATTCTATGTATAGAAGAGGTACTCAGTTTGACTTTTTTGGTATGCTAAGCGATATCTTCAATTTCTATATATTTCCGAAATTCAACTGCCTCGGTGGTGTAGTGGCTAGCATGTACGGCTGCACACTCGGAGGTCCTGGGTTCGAGTCCCGGGTCGGGCCAAGTTTAGTTATTGAGTCTTTCTGTATATTAAACCTCAGTAACAGCCCGGAGTTGAGAAGTTGGCGGTGTGTCACCCCCGTGCCTCGGAGAGCACGTAAAGCCGTCGGTCCTGTGCCTTAACTCTCACTGGTCGTGTCAAGCAGTCATCCCACCGGAGTATGAGAGTGACAGGAATAGAGAGTGCACGTTGTGTCTGCGCGTACACTTGTGCACTATAATATCTCCTGCGCAGTTGGCTAGTCTCAATGAGATTGGCCGCCGTAGCCGGAATCGGTCAGGAGAACATCATTGCCGTAATTTTTGTTTTTTAAACTTTCTCTCGTGAAAATGAAACAATTAATGTTATAGAGATTTTGAAAATGGCGTACTTTTTATTTAAGATAAAAGTAATAATGAAGACCGATAAAGTCAAAATGATTTTCCACAAAAAAAAAACAATCGTTAGTTATACTTTTTACCAACGTTCAAAATTTACAAGAAATATGTATTTTAAATAACCATTTAATTTAACAGAAATTTACTTCTATTGTATATTTTAAATTTATTTGCATGTCCAGAGCTACGAGTATCTACGATATGGTACTATATAAAATAAACCCGTCCAAGTTTCCAATGTGTATTGGAACTCTGACACAGTATCTGCGACAAATGACTGTTATCTATACAGAGTAGTGTGGTGTCAAACACGAACCTGTTTGTGAACTTACGGATAATCTATACATACCTATATTAAAATTCTAATTAAGCCGAATCTGTACATTAAATGTTTTTTGGAAAATCTTATTGAAATAGACATTATTATCGATACAGGGGCCAAATGTATAGTTTTTAGAATTTCTGTCTGTCTGTTACCGCATCACGGAAAAACTACCGGAGGGATTTTGATGAGATTTGGTATGATGGTAGCTGGTTATCCGGGTCAACATATAGGATACTTATTACCGGGGGAAAATGTCTGATTTCTGAGAAAAATGTAAAAACTGCAATGTAAGAGCATACTAACATGTAAAACCTAAGAATTTGGTTTTTGGTCGTCTGAACGCGGGCGAAGCCACGGGCAATGCTAGTATAATATAAGCTGTAGCAAGCTTCATCTGCGAGTATTCTATTAGACAGGGTAGTACATGAATGAAAAATTGACTATGCTCAAAAATAATACTTTCTTAGATTTACTCGAATATTTGACATCTATACTAATATTATAAAGAGGTAAAACTTGTGAGATTGTGAGTTTATGTCGTTGTTGTGGGGTTATCTCTAGATCTACTCAACCGATTTAGATTTAAAAACGATTTAGATGAAATTTGGTAAGAAGATAGTTTGAGACCCTGGGAAGGACATAGGATACTTTTATCCTGAAAATCTTCCCTTAAGGGGTTGAAAATGGGGATGAAAGTTTATATTGGGAAGCAAGCTAAGCACGAACCCAAGCGAAGCGAGGGTGAGTCGCTAGTAATAAATAAATTCATACATATAGAATTCGAAACGTCGGGAAACAAAATTCAAAATAAATACACGAAAAGGTCGTTCTATTTAGTATGCTCAAAAATATTGTAGCTTTACTTAGTGAATCTTAAAATTTGATTCAGATGGTAGTTTCCAAAATCATTTCTTACATACGAACAAACAAACCTGTCTTTATAAGCGTAAGATTTACACAAGCGAATTTCCAAGTAAAAAAATAAAAAAGACATTCAACGCGTGTTTTATAGCAATATCCGAGTGTCTCTGCAATAATCTACGTGTCGGATAAAATGGGTTACGCCTTCCGCGCTTATGAGATGTTGGCACGCGAAATTTTGATAAAATATACGCAGTATTTTGGAGGGTAATATAGAGAATGAGGTATAGAATTAACTTTGGAATAATGATAAAAAAAGCTCCTATATATGTACATCTGTTAATAGCCGCGGGTTCGATCTGACTCTAGTTATACTTTATTTAATCGAATAACCAATTTTCTCCAAATATTTATATTAGATAGTGGTAACCCAGTAACGCGCTCGCTTTGGAAGCCGAGTGAAGCAGGTTCAAGTCCCGGGTCTCGCAATTCTGATATTTTCATGTGAATCATTTCGTCATTGTGAGGAGACCTACATGTCTAAGAAAACCCAGCAAGTTTCTGAAAACATGTGAAGCCCGCCAAACCGCACTTGGCCAGCGTGGTGGATTATGACTTCATCCCCCTCGTATTGAAGGGAGGCCCATGCCCAGCAGTGGGACGATAAAAATGACTAAATAAATTTATAGTTCGTTTAGTCCAGTTTTCTATTTAAATACAACTTCCAAACCGTTTATCCATTTAGGAGCTACAATACCAGACACAGACAGACAAACACACATACAGA